AGGGAGGGGGTTGTGGAAATCTGGAAAAAAGCACCTTGAAAGAGATCTTAGAGCATTAGCTGCTCCATACAATTGAAGAGCATTGACACATTCACAAAATATGACAAATAATGACTGTGAGGAATAGTAATTAGCTTAATTTGGCTGAAGACTAGAGTTGGAAGTCTTCAAAGAGGTTAGTGAATACTGGAGTTTTTCAGTTCCTAAATATGCCATGTTAGTTTGGTTTTCTTCCTGAAATGAATAGGGAATTGGGAATTTGGGTAGGTTATTGAGAGCTGTTTGGCAGGGGCATGACCCAGTCAGGTTTTTATGTTTTAAGTCACCCTAGACACATCAAGGACAGACTGGTGAAGAATGAGATGAAAGGACAAGAAACCCAGTTCATGTCATAGAGTTACAGGGTTGCCATAATCTAAGTCAGAAATCAAGAGAGCCTGATCAAAAGTGATAAGAACTTGAGTGCATTAATCATAATAGGGAATAGAACAAAAGGCATACTTTTTGAGGAAAAGGTGTTCTAGGCATTTTGAGATGGGGTGCTTGGAACATCAAAGTGGGAGAAATTCTGAACATTGTAATTCTCTAAGCTAAGAGAGAAACCTAGACTAGGATATTGCTGAGAGTTAAAACCAGAAATATAGATAGGATGGCCCACAGAGGATGATAAAGGGTGAGAAAAGCAAAGGACAGTCCTGGAGACCATTAACATCAGAGAGTTGAGATGTAATTTCTACAGAATATAAGAAATTGTAGAGTCAGTAGTAGAGGGAAGGCCAGAGAGAGGTGCTATGAAAGCCAAGAGGAAACAATTCGAGGGCGTGTAGTAGTGCCAGTTAAAAGAAATCAGCTTACACGGGGCAGTGGCTATGGAAAGGCAGTTACTTCACAGAAAAAAATAAACATGGCCTTTAAACAAATGAGAACCTGCTTAACCTTCCCTACGCTAATGAGGAAGATAGAAATTAAAAGGGAATATTTGTCATTACTAGCATGACAAAGTATTTATGAAGAATAACAGTTTTCATGGCTGACAGGATATAGAAAAACATTCTCTTATGCTTTAAGATATAACAGCTTTGGAGCACAGTTAGATAATATCTTAAAATTTAAATTGCAAATACCTTTTAACCTAGCAATTCCATTTCTAGGTCTCTATCCTAAAGACTTAGTCACATCTGCACAAAATGAGTGCAGTAATGCATGTCTAATAGTGAAAAGTCAGAAACCACCTAAAAGGCCTTCAGTAGGGAAATGGTTAAACAGGTTACCACACCCATATTTTTGGAATACTATGTAGCAGCTGAAAAGAACATGGAAAAACTTTTCAGGCATTGTCCAAATTTTAAAACATGGACTATTACCCCATTTATGTAAATACAGAAAAACTATATTGCCATTGGTATATTTGTGTATAGACTCATTTTTTAAGGAAGGTCTGGAAGAACACACAGTGAACTGATCACCGATCTCTGAGAGGGGTGAGGGCAGAGTAGAGGGAAACTAGTTCTTTCCCTTTGAATGGTTTTGTGAGTACATTTCTGTAATTTTAAAAAGGGACAATTTGGAAAAGTCAGGTGAAAAGGACTTGGGTGTTTTGGACTGGGCAATTAGGGAATAATTGTTCACATAAAAGCAGTTTAAATGGGTGGTAAATGAATAGTGAGGAAAGTGAGTGAAATAAAGCTGATGTTTGAAGCGGCTTGCCTTAGGAGGGAAATAGTAGTTAGATGGGGGAGATGGATGCAAGTTGGTAAAGTATTAAAGTCAGGGAGAGAAAGTGCAAGCATGTGTTAGGCTCAGGACAGTGTTGGGTATGAAGCTGAAGATTCAGGAGAAGAGGGACGGCTGTGCCAGAGGTAAAGGAAGTGGGGAGTTGATGAATCTAGACACAGATAAACTGGAAGGAGAGAGTTATGTCAGAAAGTTGAAAAATTCATCATAATAGCTTCTTGGCTGAGAACAGGAACATGGGACACTTGAGTAAGTGGATGAAATTGCCGTTGACAGGAATGAAAGGACCTGATTAGAAATACTTGGGATTGCTGGGGAGGCTCCGATATTACCATGGACTTAAAATGGGATCAGTCTTTTTCAGAGTTGTTACATTTTCCCACAGTTGTCTTTCCTCTGGGCCTAGCCATAGAAAAGTTGGTAGTTAGACCAATTCAGGTTTGGAGTTTTGTGGAGAATGAACAAGAGACAAACAATTAGTGTAATGTTAAATGATTAACTATACTTGTAGGGATTGGCAAGCTATTGTTTATGGGCCGATTCCATCTTACTGTTTTTGTACTGTAACCCAGCCACACCCATTCATTTAAGTATTGTCTTTGGCAGCTTTCACCCCACAATGACATAGTTGCTGTGATAGAAAATGTGTTGCTGGAAAAGCGGAAACCATTTACTAATCTGGTCCGTTAGAGAAAAATGTGCTAACCTTGAACTATACCACAGGAATGAAGCTGGCGGGGTGCATATGGAGTCAGGACTAGAAGTCATTGTGAAGTCAAGCAGCAGGTATCAAGTTGATAAAAGAGAGGGAAATTTAGAGTAAGATTTTAGGAGTAGAGGACTCCTGACACCAGCTGGGTCTGAGTGATTTAACTTTGAGGAAGGAGTTGAACAATGAGTGAAGAGTGAAGTGCATAGAATTCAAGTTGAATTATAAGTAGTTGGATGATATAACAGAAGAAAATAAGAATCTCTCTAAAAAATACCCAACAGATAACCTGCCAATATAAAGAATTCAGTCCACTTAGTTCAGATGTATCTAGATGTTTTCCTCACCCACATTTGTTAGTTCAGCTGATACTCCCAGTTTAAAACAATGTTTGCATGCTAGTTTATTTCCTGCTCTATATACAATATTAAAACTACTTATTTGCAATGGACTTTTCTATAGTGAACCAGAGTACTGGTAGAACATACATGCAGCTATTTATATATACATTTCTTTTTTATCCAAAGATAGAGCATTATTGCATTTTCAAAATCTATTTTTAACATAGCTTTCCCTTTTCACTACAGGTATATGAAAATTATCCTGCTTATGACTTAACTGAAAGAAAAGGTTTCATAAAAACAACTGTTAAAGAGGTAAATATATCCACTGTTTCTAACTCTGAGCATTTTGGACATATGCGAGAAAAGAAATGTTTATCAGATAATGCATATTTTTCAAACTACATGACTAAATATCACGTTTGATCCTCAAATTTCCTCAAAATAGATGGAGAAAAATATTTTTATTCCCATTTTAGAGCTTAAAAATAAAGCCCTGCACATTAGTGACAAAACCTGACCTCAGATGAGGAAGAGATTCAGGCTTCCCGTCTACTGGGCATCTCAGAGGCACTCACACAACTTGAGTACATGTATCTGTCCACCAGTCAAAGGCAGAAGAAAATCAGCAGTAGCTATTAGTTTATATTGATTCCAGTTGATTTCCCAAGGTCACAATAGTAAAAGAAAGTTTAAAAATGAAATAAGGTTTTATGACTTATATGTACCTAATACTGTATGTTGGGTATGGGAAAATAATGTTTCTCTTTTCATTACAGCTAATTTCTTGAGATAAAGGAGAGACAGATGACTCGTTCCATGGATTTGAAGATCTGATTTATACCATTATACCAGCAAAAAGAATGTATTTCCTTTTCTAAATCCTTGCAAGCATTATGTTGGTAGAATTTACTGCTGACTTTTTCTTTTTTTTTTTATCTTGGGTGTTATGTAAATTTGAGTTTGCCATTTTAAATTGCATTTCTATGCAGTTTTTAGTTTAAAATTTTGCATGGCATTAATTGTTCCTTGCTTTTATAGTTGTATTTTGTACATTTTGGATTTCTTTGTATAAGGTCATAGATTCTTGAACTGTTGTAGGTTTTAGTGCAGTTAATATTAGCTTACGGCATACTTTTAATCGAGTAGGGCAGAAACTATTATAACTGGCATTTATACATGCAGAGACCAATGCAGTATTTAGTATATGGGATATTTTGAATACAGCACACCTGTCAGTGTGACAACTCAGTGGCAGTGTGTTCATCATATTAAGACTACAAGCTTCAGGTGTCCAGATGACTAAATTGGAACTTTTCTTCTGCATGTATAGATAGGTCAATTTGTCAGCATGACAAAAGTGACAGATGTTATTTTTGTATTTTCAAAAACAAACTTGTATATAAAGTTTTTTTTTAAATTTCTTTTGTGCGGATCAGTTTTAAAACCCATATAGGTAGTTATCTTTACAGTTATAAACTGAAATGTCAGTGTTCAGCCAGATGGTATCACACAGAGCAGTGAAAGTCAGAATTCAGTAAAGAGAACAATGAAGGACAAAAACATAGTTCTCTGCTTTGCTTTGAAAGTATCATCAATTTGTAGCTTTTAGTGTCAATTCTGCAACTGTTGTCTATAGACACATTTTATATTAAAGATAAACCAAAATCAACACATCAGAACTTCAAAAATTTAGGAAAGAGTAGGATTAAGTACAAGAACATTAACTGCATTTGCCCATATAAAATGCTGGTATTTACAGGAAACCTGGACCTTTATAATGACCACAAAAAGTACCAGGTGTAATGCCAGAAGATAATGTGTAGGCAGTAGTGAGTGTCTCTGAGAAGTATTTCTCAAAAATGATGACTTGTTTTTAACATTAAAGAAATTTAATGTATCTGTGGAATTAGAGCGGTTGGGTTTTAAATTTTGGCTAATCAGGATTCTAGTTGATTCAACATATAGACCACCCCTGAATAAAACTAATTTGTCTTTTAAATTGACTGTGTTAATCAGTTTATTAAATAATCTTAATTTTAAAACATGCTGCTTATGAGAAAATTAGGCCTTTGATAAACCAGTTGAGTGTTTAAAGTATCTTTGCATCATAGAACAGAAATATGTAAAAATATGTTGATTGTTAACAGGTATTTTCACAGTTTTGACTTGTTTCTTGATAAAGTTGTTAAGACATTAGAAAAATAATACAAATGAATGGAATAAACTGAGACCTACGAATTGGCCTTTGATTTTAAATAGTTAATTTGTTCCTATAAACTTTGTCAATAAAAGTAATAAACAATGCTTTTGTCTCTCGCATTTGATGTCTTGTCTTAGAGGTTTTTATAGCATTTCCCCTCGATATGAGAATTTCAGAACATGGGTTTTTTAATGGATTTAGCTCTTGAGATAGACACTAGAGACAAATAATGAGGATTCTTTTTAAAATATACACTTATTGTACTTTATTATGTAGGTTTTTCCTTTGTTCATAGCACAAGTTTAAACGTCCAGAGACTAAAGTAATAATTTACTATGAACCATTTCAAACGTAAAATATTTTGCATTTATCACTTAAATTATAGCCATATAGTGTTCTTCAGCGATAACTGACCACTTTCACTTTAAGTACACTACAAAGAAATCGCCTGGGAAACTAGAAGTGATTTACAAAAGTGGATCAAGGTAACAGTTGCTTACTTTACTACCATTTAATTGAAAGGGGATACAGAGTAATGCCTATGACGTAAAATGGGTGGGGGACGTCTGGCCCATGGGCCTTATATGGCCTTGAAATCATCTGATCTGGCCCTGCCAAGGCCTCACCAAAGAGAAGCAGTTCCAGCCATCACATTAGGGGTGCGTTAATTAAATGTTTGACCAAATTAGCAGGCTAATTTTTAAGCTGATAATTTTGTTTGGCCCACAGATGATGTTACAAATATCCAAATGGCCCTTGGCAGAAAAAAGGTTCCCACCCCTGACCTAACCGGTCTAAAGAGAGTTTGGAGGTGAAGGGATTGAGTTGGCCAGTGTGAAAGTTTATGATGAAGACGTAACCATTTAACAAGTATGTTTTCATCACTACAATGCAGAGTGTATTTGAAAAACAAGTCTAGTTTTTATTAAGTTTTACACAAGCTGTTCACAATCTGCAGTTAAAACATGTACATTCACAGCTATTCAATTACAAAATCTTCAGAACAATGAAAAACATATTCCAAGTAATGCAAGAATTTAAAGGAAAAGTACCATGGTTCCTTACAGAACAAAATGTCAGATGTAGACCCTTGAGACAAGAAATGAGGCTTTTTAAAAAAATACACATTCACCATACTTTATTAAGTAGGGTTTTCCTTTGTTTATAGCACAAGTTTAAGTGCCCAGAGACTAAAGTAATAATTTACTGTGAACCATTTCAAACGTAAAATATTTTGTATTTATCGCTTAACACATGCTATTCTTTAAACATTTTAATATATAACACTTTAAAGCAGAACATTCCCCAATTAGTACCAACAAGTCTCATCAGATAACCTAAGAATCAGTATTTCCCTGTGTTAACACTGAAACTAACATACTCTTTTTCTTTCATTTGTATCATACTTGGATGGGGAGGGAGGTGTGTCTAACTTCACAATACATTCTTTGCATATGACACTTTTCATTTATAAACTGACTTAAATTTTAAAAACACCTAATATTTTGAAAAGTGGCTTTAAAGTCATTTTGTGCTGCCCTTGTTTTTGAGTCCTTCTTTAAAGCAGACCAATATAACTGAAAAAGCTGTCCAAAGACTAAAACAAAAGAACTTAAGTTATCCATGTTTTTACCTGTAAACTGAAACTTCTTGGCAAGATAAGCATCCTTAAGACTCTGAAGCCAATGCCTATTTTAAATGACATTTTTTGGTCATGAGTGAAAAAAGGAAAAAGTATTTGCCATGTTCTCAGGCTTTTACGATATGGCTTATAAAATATGTAATATCAGGATATCACATTTTTCTGCAGTTTTCCAGTGGACCGGCCTATGGAATACTGAAAACACAATTCTGTAAAAAAGGCAGTTGTGAAGAGGCTTTTATTAAGTTATTCTACCAAGATATTTTTGCTAGTAGTTGCCAAAATTAAGGCTAAAGTGTGCCATCTGCCCAAACATGGCTCAAAGAAAAATAGCCCTATAGTCTATGTCTAAAGTGTGAAGACCACACTCTCTCTACCCCATTTTCAGTGATAAAAACCTGCACTGTTTAAGAATTGAAAATTTTGCTCTTTTGCCAATGAGTACACAAATCTAAAATGTTTTATCACAAAAGGTACCTGAATTTAAATTTTCTTTGAAAACCCAATGGGAGGTATAGTATAAAATAATCTAGAAGCTTCATTTACTTTTGACTGAAGAGTTTTTGTGCTATATCCAAAAAGGAAAGATTTCGACCTAAATTTTAAGTAAAAGCTCAATATTGGAGCTATACAAAAATCTTAAGGCTCATTGGCAAAGATGGCGATAAATTGTTATAGAAGAAAAATACATGGCTCTACCTGTTTAGTGATTTCTGCTTGATTGGCTTGGTTTCTCAATGTGTGAAAATTGATCAGCTAAACAAAAAGTCAAATTTAAGGGAACCTGCAACCATGGAAGAATCACATCCAAGGTCTTAATTTAAGGTTATATTCTACTTTATTCTGAAATCCAGAAGATTTAGTACTAGACTTGTGGAAAATGCAGTTAAATAGAAGTGCTTATAAATTGGATCTTAGGGCTAATGCTTTTGAGTGGTGACATGGATTTACATTATCAAACCACTTTAGAAACATTTCAATTTTGTTATCCAGAGATGGTTTTGTTGTTTGATTTTATGAAAGTGAGGTTAATGTGTTTCAAACTTTCCCACTGGGGTATACAGAAGAAAGCTGGGTCCAGACGAAATCTATTTAAAATGCTGCAATCTTGCTTGCTTCTCGAACACCACTCAAATATGCCCCTGTAACAGTTTGTGGAAAATGTCTGTTTGTTGCCTGTAAAAAATAATTGCATAATTTGAGGTCATGTATAAGGAATTCAGATGACAAAGGTAATACAAGCTTATGCTTCCTCTGATCCCCCTAAAATAAAGGACTAGTGCCACTCCTGTGTGCTCATACTAACAGCACTCACCCATCACAGCACTTGGCCTTTCTGGTTACCTTTCATGCTTTGCCAAATGCTTCATTCTACAAAATATTTAGCACTCCTGTGAAGTACTCTGGCATTCAATAAGATACTTATATATGCCAAGTACTGGAATTAAGTAAGGTGAGTAAGACATAGTGCCTCTCATCAGACAAGTAATCTGTTAAGTCAGGGATAAGTGAAACAAGAACAAAGTGAATCACACTTCACCCGACGGTGTTTTGCTAGATGGGTGGACAAATGGATGGAGCTGAGGTACTCAAAGCACAGACTAGTTCAGGAAGGGAAAAGTCAAAAGGTTGAGAGCTGTCAATGGGAGAGCTGTCCATGGGATAAGCTCACCTTCAAGGAGCTTGTAGTGGGAACAGTAAGTAAACCCAGAACAGGGAAGTATGCTTGGGAAGGGCTATGGGAAAGAGTAGCAGAAATGGAGTGACCCAGTCACAGAAAACGGGGAAAAGAAACAGATGAAGTTCCATGTTGCCTAAATTGATGGCTGGGTGGAAGGATGTGACATGGAACCTGGAGGTGACAAAAACTTCAATAAATGGAAGGACAGGTCAGTAGGAATACAATTACTAGCAGGAGGAGAGAATGACAGTGATAGAGACTGCAAAGAAATGGGTTTTATAAGAAGGTAACAACTATCAAAGCAGCAAAGGAAAGCAAAAAAGGTTCTATACCCTGCTCACAATCTAGGGGACACTAGCCTAAGAGCCATCTCTTGGAAGCAGCAGACAGCTGTTGTCAGGCCTGCAGCCATTACACTCTGTTCCTACAAAGTGGGCTCCTCACAGGCCAAGGAGTAATCAAAGATTGCTGGTTTTCAAATGATGCTCTTCTCTGATGATTTAAAAATCATGAAGAGATTTAAGATTAAAGATGGGGGTGGAATGAGTGGAAGCTACACTGACACTCTCCCAGGACCAAACTGGAATTACAACTAAAATATAGAAAAACCATCCTGAATAATCAATTGCAACTGAAGATGAGCTGGAGAGCACCCTCATAACCAAGGGGGAAAAGTGGAGACCCTCACAGAGACTGGAAGGGCAGAGGCATTAGAGGGCTGGCTGGGCTCCCAAGGGCAGCAGCTGAAGGTATGAAGGGATATCTCAGCTGTGGGGGGTTCCCACTGAGGACTCTGGTGCCTAAACCCCAGGCTGGGCTTCCCAGACAAGAGCACTAGAACTGAGAAGGGTGCCCACATAACTTCTGGCTGTGAAAAGCAGCAGGGTTTCTGTCTGCCAGGGAGAGACGGCTGGAAATGCAGGCACCCTCTTAAAGAGCCAATGCACACAGTTTCTTGTGCAGCCACTCACCCTGGGCTCCAGAAGAGGGAGGGCAGAGTATACTGGAACTGTGTGAGGAGAATTTAGGGTTGTGGGCCCTGGAGATAGAGCTCAGAGGGCACCCCTCTGGACTCCTGTGGCAAGTCATTCCCCCAAATTGTAGAGGACATCTTTCTCAGGCAAACATTTATCTTCTCAGTAGCTTTTGTCTGAGGGGAAAGCAATTGCCCCACCCTGCTGGAAAACCTCTTGCCCTGCCCAGAGGAGTTTCTACAGCTTGAGGCTCCTTAAGAGACTGATAACAATCAGCCACCCCACCCTGTGGAGCTTCTACAGTCTGAGGTTCATTAAGAGAATCAGATTGATCAGCCTGCAGTCATAGGCAGACCTCAAAGCACTTCTGAGTTTTTGCCTGATCTGCTTCTGGACCCGGGCCTTGGAAAAGCAGACTTTGGTGTGCATCTTGCTACTGTTCAAATGCACCCAGCCCCAACAGAGGGGATCTCAAGCCCAGGATTGTTGATAGCCCCAAACAGGGTACTCAGGGCCAGTCACAAACTGTGTCTGACATTGGCCTGCACTGGAGACCCTCCAAAAAGACTGAGAGTCCTGGCAGATCTACCTAATACATAGAAACAAACCCAAAAAGACAGCCAAAATGGGGAGATCAAAAAACAAGCCACAAATGAAAGAACAAGAGAAGTCTCCAGAAAAAGAGCTAAATGAAATGGACAAGCAATCTATTAGATACAGAGTTCAGAATACTGATTGTAAGGATGCTCAACAGCATGAAAAAGATATAGAAACTATGAAGGAAATTAAGAATGACATAGCAGAAAT